AAGGTAAAAGTTAGAGAGAAGAAAAAGAACAAGAAGACAGAATTAAGAGGGTGGATGCTTGGTGATGTGGGAGGAGGAGTGAGGAAGGAAACCCCGGGACCCACTGGGGATTGTGTGCTGCATCAGGCTGACTCCACCCTCCCAGAGCCTGGCTGGGTGAGTGTGGGCTGAGGGGGATCGCCCATCTCATCATGCTTCCTCCACTCTCCTCTTTCAGTTTTTTGGCCCCATGTCCTGCCTGAGGGTATTGGGACCAGGGGTCCCAATCTCATTCCAGTTTGGAGGGCTTTCATTAGAGATTGTGCAAATTCAGCTCTCTGCTTCCAACGCTGCTTAGATCAGTGGCTGGGGGACACATCTGGACTGAGTTTTCAAGAGTGCCTCCTTCCAGGGGGCCAACTGGACAAACCTCATGACTGAATGCTGAGGTAAGAACTCTCACTGGTATCTTTAGAGACGACCACCCTCTGCTGCAGCTGCGGCTTTCACTTCTATTAAAAGTTTGTCAGACCACCCATGTCTCCCTGACCATAGCCGCTAATGAGTTCTTATCCCCAGTTGATCAAAACGAGGACTGAGTCTCAGCATTTGGGGTAGGAGCCAGATGTGGACCTTAGTTCATGTGATCTAGCTTGCCACCAACTGCTGGAGAGGTTCCAGAATGAGATCGTCACCTCCCCAGCCAGCACTGTCCGGCTCCCCTCTTTCCAGGTCAGCATCCTGTATTCTGCCCTCCAGAGGTCAGGTGTGAGTGGATGACAGGGAGAAAATATTCCATCCACATGACCTGTCAACAAGAGGCATTCACACCCCCCACCAAGACTGCATCAAAATTCCTTCGTCCAATCTGAAGAAGCCCCATCTCTGCTTCCACCCAAGCAGGTGAGCGACGTGGCCCTTCCCGTCGGTGGTCCTCAGTGACCCTTCCTCCCATCTGTCCTGCTTGGAGTGCCGGACCAGATGTTGATGGGTACATGATTCTGAAAGGCCTAAATGTAATCAGCATGTGCTTTGCAGCACTTAAACTTAGCCGCCTTAGTTTTCCTCCGCAAACGGGTGAGTTTGCGATCCCCTCCTTCTGCAGAAGGCTATTTTCGGCCAGTTCTTCCAGGCGGGTGATGGGCGCATTCACCGTACTGGAAACTGTGAGGAGATCAAACCTTTCTTTGTATTCCTGCCCAAACACAAATTCTCTGGAAGAATATATTAGAACAACCAGTCACCGAAGATAACAGAGCTCAATCTGAAAGACTCCAGTGCAAGCAGGGCTTTGCCAACACTCGTTCTGTTTCCATAAGTGAGACCCAGCTGTCCTGGTATGGTTTGCTTTTTGTTTGTTTGGTTTCTCTCTCCCTTTGTCTCTCCCTCTCTCTCTCTTTTTTTTTCTTTCCAAACTATGTCCTTTCAGTGCACTTAGGGATTTCCTGTGCCAAAGCATCTTCTAGAAAACCTTATGTTATAATGAGAGAAGAAAAAACTACAGAACAAAAAACAAGAAACAAAGGCAAAAACAATCCTGGTCTGGGTATCTCCTGCGAGGGTTTCCCGGAGTGAGCCCGCCGGACGTGTTACACATGCTCTGGAATATTCATCTTCTCTGTCTGTGGTATGTGTCTTTGTGTTTGGCATTACCGAGCCTTGGAGGTTATCGTGAATGCCAGTTGTGTGAAATAAGCGCAACTGACAGGATTTAAAGGCTCAGACTAACCTTTCTAATCCATCTAGTCCCTGTTCTGTGCCTTAGGCCATGCCTCTTCTGCAAGAATATACTACATCCTTGCTTCTGTGAGGGGAGCTGCAGTAATTTCCTGAATGTCAGTCAAAGCCTCTCTCCTTGAGGAGCCAGAGAAATTCAGATTTCTCCTTCTGACTAGATGGGAAAGGAGCTATAAAGAATTTTGCGAATGAGATGAGTGTTGGTATTTTTGCCACACGTGCTTAACTTTTTCACTTCGTTAGTAGTTCAGAATGTAATTTATATAGGGGCACCTGGGTGGCTCAGTCGGTGTGCCTTTGGCTCAGGTCATGATCCCGGGGTCCTGGGATCGAGCCCCGCATCAGGCTCCCTGCTCAGCGGGGAGCCTGCTTTCCCCTCTGCCTGCCACTTCCCCTGCTTGTGCTCTCTCTCTCTGACAAATAAATGAATAAAAATCTTAAAATATATATATATATATATAATTTATAATCCCTTTCCTAATCAATGAAAGTAATTCTGAATTTGAAAAATCCATCTAGAGATAAATTAATTCACCAATAATTTATTAAAATCAATTCATCATTTTGGAGTGAAAGCTATGTATTGGGCATTATTCTGCGTGCTGGGGGTATAGGATAGGCCAAGTCCCTGCCCTCCTGAATCTTCTATCCTGTGGGTGGAGAAACAGAAAATAATCACATAGATCAATATGTACAGTGTCGAGAGGTGGTAAGTACTAGGAAGAATAAAGCAAAGAAAGGAGATAGGGAATGAGGGTGATGGGGAGTGAGGTACTGTTTTACCGAGGATGGCCAGACAAGGCCTCTCAGGTAAGAGGATATCTGAGCAGCGGTTTGAGCAGAGGACATGAATGAGTGAGCCATGCTGGTATCTTGAGGAAGAGTGACCCAGGCAGAGAAAATAGCAGCTAGTTGTAGACACGAAGGTGCTCAGGGTATTCACAGAAACTATAACAGTGAAGATTGGATTTCTTTTCAATGAGATACAAAGTCCCTGGAGAGGTCTGCATAAGAGAGTGACATAATTTCGTTGATGCCTTTAAAAGATCATTTCGATTGGTATTATTAAAAACACTATGAGGGGGTGAACGAGAAAGCAGTTAGACCAGTTAGGAGGCGATTCTAGGAAGACTGTGGCATAAACAAGAATGATGGTGATGACGGTAGTACTGAGTGGTGATTGGATTCTGGAACTATTTGGAAGATAGAGCCAATAGGGGTTGCTGATGATTGCTGATGTGAGGTACAAGGAAAACAAGAGGAGTCAGGAATTGTCTGGGGTTGTAGCCTCAACAACCGGCAGTTGCTGTTTGCTGAGATGGTAGGATTGGGATAAGAGCAGGTTTGGTGGTTGGTAGAGAGGATCAAGAGATCAGTTTGGGGCATGTTCAGTTAGAGCTGCCCATTGGATATCCAAGTGGAGATAGGCAGTTGGAAATAAAAGTCTGGAGTTCAAAGGTGAGGTTGAGGCTAAAGAAAAAAAACCTGAGTGTAATGAGTAGTATAGGTAGTTTTAAAGTCATGGGATTACATGAGATCATCTGTGGGATGAGTGGAGAGAGGAAAGGAGAGATCTGGGGACTGAGTCCTGGATGTCCCCAAAGCTTACCCGTTGGGAAGGAGATGGAGAGGGAGTGGTTAGTGAAGTAGAAGAAGCCATGAGAGGGAGTGCTATCACAGAGGCAAGGGAAGAGATTGTTCCAGCAGGAGGGACATCGACTTTGCTAACTGCTGTTGGCTTGGGTAAGATTAAATGTTGAGAAATGGCTATTGGATTTGGCCATTGGATTTGGAGGTCATTGGTGACCTTGATGAGAACATTTTTAGAGGAACATTAAGAACAAAACTCAATAGGAGTGGGTTCCAGGGAGAACAGAGTAGAGCAAGTAGTGGTGTTTTATGTGGACAACTTTCCTGAGGAACTTTGCTGTGAAGGAGGGCATGGAAGGAGCTCTGGGGTCAAGGGAGGGGATTTTTATTTCTTAAGATAGGAGCTATCAAGGAATATTTTTATGCTGTTGGGAATTATCAAGAGGAGAAAGAGAACAGATAACGCTGTGGTAAGTGAGGGGACAATTGCTGGCGGAAGGGTTGAGATCTCCTGCATAAATGGAGTGTTGGGTAAAGCCAATGCACTGATAGAAATATGGGTAGATGGCTTGGTAGATTTGGTGGTGGGAGGCTTTAGAAGATCATGGGGTTAGAGTAAGGAGAGAAAGGAGGAGGGGGAGGCTTGAGGAGAAAGGAGTATAAGGGAAGAAGTAGAGTGAATTGATCACACCAGGGTTTCTCAGGCTTCCCTGTGCACCAGAACCACCAGGGGCCTTGTTATAACACTCGTTGCTGGGCCTCACCCTGAAAGTTTCTGATTCATTTAGATCTGGGGAGACATCCAAGAATTTGCAATTGTGACAGATTCCCAGGTGATGCTGCTGCTGCTGGTCCCGAGACTGGACTTTGGGAACCACTGGGCTTGGGGCTGGGTTGGGATGGCAGAGCATCCCTAAAGGCCTCCCTGTGCCTGGCAGTCATGCGTGTAGAGGGAATCCAATCAGCGTGGTCTTGTGTTTTTCTGCAGCCCCGTTGGGTGGCTCAGGAGCTGGCAACCATAGGCACAAAGTTGGACTTCACCAGAAAAAAATGCACAACTGATACGACTGGTGTATTTGGGAAGCTCCACTTCTCTTGATGTCCTTGTAGTCTGAAAATGCTTTTTCTACATCTTCCATTTGAAATAGAAGGGAGTGGAGAATCTGAGATGGAGAAAAAAGAGAAACCAAAGTTTGTGGTGAAGTTTACTGTTGTAGGACTTAGAAATAAAATGTAGTGGCGCCTCTGGTCTCCTATTGAAAGGGGAAACATAAACCCCCTTTTCCTAAAATATCTGCTAACCATGCTGTTTCTGTGATCTACAAAATTGTGAAATATACTTTGAAAAATAAAATCTGGTTCTTCTGGATTTTCTAAGATTACTTCCATCACACGCAGAATTTGGAGACTATTATATTATTCTTTGCAAATGTTCATGTCCCCCAGCAAAAAATAAGTGGTTAAGTGCAGAGCCTTACATGCAGGAAGTGAGTTCTGGAAGTGACAACTCAGCTGTTTGAGTGAGGGCCACAGCTCCATCAGAACAGAAAAAAAAAAGAACTGACTTCCATAATAAAGTACCGTATTAATTCACATCTCATATGTTAAGCAGCAATTTAAATGTGGTGGATTTGCATAGTAAGCATTAGTTTTTGAGTTACTGATAGTTTTCTTTTTATTAAAAAACAAAACAGATTTTGTTGGAGCCGGGCGTGATCCAGGATGTGCTAGCTGCTGGCAGTCACCTACAGCTGTTGGAGCTTCTCAATTTATGTTCCCACTATCTCATCCAGGTATGTGAGCTTGCGTCCCGCTACTGAGCCCTTCCTATCCCTTCGCCCTGCGCTCATTAGCTGTACCTGCTGCTCCCCGACCTGTGCCTAGACAGCAATAATGGAAGTAGGGGAGATGTGGCTTGCGATGGTAGAATCTCTCCAGGACATGGGCCGAGAGGCTCCCAAGGGGGCAGCTGCAGCTCTCCTGTCCTGTCCCAGGACCCCCAACCCAACCTCCCTGCCCACCCCAGGTCCTCGCTGCCCTGGGGCAGCAGAGTAACTCAATGACCATGCTCCTGGTTTATTGCTGGGGCCCCGGAAGATGACACTGGGAAGGATCTTCATTTGAAGCAATGTTGTCTGGCTGCAGGAATAACAGTCCCAAATGCACAAAAAAGTTGGATAGTCACTGAAGATTTCAGCAACAGTAGCTAATATATCACAGTCATATATAATGAAGTACCACATGAACTTTTCATGCAAAAAGTGCTGGAAAAGGGGTAAGTGATCTGTGCATTCTTCCCCTGGTTTGCTGGGATGATCAGGAAGGGCTCTGGGAGGGGGAGGAAGAGAAAACGCCCATCCTCTGAGCACCAATGTTTCACGGTCAGTCCTCCTAACATCTTTGCACATTTTTATAGGTGAAAAGTCAGAGATTTAAAAGGTACCCAGCTTGCCTGAGGTGATAGAGCTGGTGAGTGATAGGCCTCTCTGATTCCGAAGACCATTTTTTCTTCTTGGATAAAAACTTTCTCATTCATTAGGAAGACACAGGACGTCTTAGGCAGACAGTATGGCTGTGAGGCTTTTATTTTAAGGAGTTAAGTACTGATTCCCTGTATTGGGAGCCTCTTATTTCCTCCACTGGCATGACTTTTTACTTGTATTTGTTACAACATTATAACAACAGTGAAAATACATTTTTAACAATGACAAATCCATACAATTTAATTTTACTATCCTTGTGCATATGACATATTAGTAAGTATAAAAATCCTATTTGTTTTCCTGCCCCATTATTTTATTTTCTTCCTTGTCATTTTCTCTAATTCTAAATAGAGCCATATTATTGACTTCTGTCACTCAGTAGGTCGTTTCTCAAGCTCTTTCTCATGTATCATGTTATTTCGTCTTCCTGGCAACCTTGGAAAATAAGAACCAATGCTTCCCCGCGAGATAGTGTGAGGAGTGTCAGTCACATTCACCTGAGGAGCAATTCAAACACAGTATATGAAAGTTGTATCATTATCTCTGCACATTTAATCTAATAGTAAATGTTTAACTATTATCATCTGATTTTCCTTTGTTTTCCCCTCAATATTGTTGGGTGGTATGGGAGAGCTGTTTTTAATCCCTTTCTGCAAGTAGCAAATGGAAATAACAAAGAAAGGTTACAAGACTTCAGAGGTGTGTGTTTGACTTGTGAAATTGAAATTACTTTTATTTGACATTTTTACATCAAATATTGCAACTTGAGCCTTCAGCATCATCACCTAATTCACTTTTTCCATGGCAGGTAATATTCAATGATGTATGTTGCCAAACGTTTGGTTATAGTGCTTGTTATCGTGATTCATGTTAAAATGGTGTGTATTTACAGGTGTGTGTGTGTGTGTGTGTGTGTGTTTACCTACACCTATAATTTCTATAAACAAGAATTGCAGATGAACATCAGAAGTTCATGGATATTTTCCCCTATCCCATCAGATGAATTTGTTGAGATACCAAGTGACTTGTGTACTTTGGAACTTAATTTTTGCAGTTCATTATTTTGTTGAAGGAAAAATGTAGCCTGCATACAGATATATTTTGTGGACAGTTTGCTTATTATTAGCCTACTTGATCAGTGGTTGAAATTTTTACTTTCTTTTCTCCAGTGTTTTCATTTTGTTCTTTCATGGAACTTTATTTTTCCTTTTTATCGACAATGTTGCAAGATGTCCAAATTGTGGAAGAAAACTTTGACTATAAGAGAATCAAGCCGTGTGTATGTAGAAATCTTCATTTTGTCTGTCTCTTGAAAATATATTCCCTTCCTCTCTTTTTTAGGATTGTAAAATTTCCAAACTGGGTTGGTCTGCTTTTATATTTTGATATAGTCTTGTAACTATATCTGTTTACAGTGTTTTGGTATTATTGCTGACCTGATTCTTAATTTCATATGGGACCATTTTATTGGTTATGTAAAAATGTGTTTTGTTAAAATGAAGAATCTTTAGTGCTTAAAATATACTTAGAAGTGCCCTATCAGGGCTTCTGGGTGGCTCAGTCGGTTGGGTGTCTGACTCTTGATTTCAGCTCAGGTCATGATCTCAGGGTCCTGGGATTGAGCCCCGAGTCAGGCTCCCTGCTCAGCAGGGGAGCCTGCTTCTCCCTCTGCCTCTGCCCCTGCTTGTGTGTTCTCTCTCTCACTCACTCTACCTCTCAAATAAATAAAATCTTTAAAAAAATTAAAAAGTAAAAAGTAAATAAATAAATAAAAAGTTGTGCCCTATCAATCAAGGGTAGCATATTTTCCATTCTTGTTCAGTACTTTGTCCACCTAGGAGTTTGTGAAGGCATTCTCCCCTACTAAGATGTCTGGTCCTGTTTGTTATTCTCAAATTACCACTCTTTCTTTGGTTTTCTTCCAGAGTTGTAAAAGGTAGACCTCTGCTCTGATACCTCCTATTGTCCTCTGGCGCTCAATCATAGCTGAGGAGAACCCCTGGGTTGACACTCTCTGAGTCTCTGGGCTATCCTCTCTTACCTTGGCCTGAAATTCCTCTGCACAGGTGTAAATACTGGTGCCCCCCAGCAAAGGGAAGGGACACCTTGAGGCCACTGTGTGCTCTCCTTTTTCTTGCCTTTCCTTGGGGAGGCTGCTGAGAGCAGGGGCCTCAAACCACAGGAGCAGTGCCCCTCTGTTAGCAAGGATAGCCACTGAATTAGCCTCCTACACTGTGGAGCCTTCACCTTATTCATTTTTGTCCCCTGTCCCCTGGATGGCAGGCCCTTGTGAACACACAGATTCTCAGCACAGGTCGTATCCAATCAGTTACCAAGCTGAGTTGATTCTACCTCCCAAATACCTCTCAGACCTGATCCTTTTCTTTATCGCTAATGCTCTTACCCTTTTGGGGAGCTCTCATTGCTACTGGCTATAGATTGTACTGAGTTCCTCATATCCTCCTGAGGGGTCTGCTTGTTTCTAGCCTTTCTCCCTGCCAAACCATAGTTCCCGGAGCCTTTGTTATCTTTCTCAGGGTAGGGATATAGCATTTGTCGAGGGCCTCTCCATACCAAGCGTTTTGGTTGGTGATTCTCATTTTCCCTCTGCTAAGGAACCCCTTAAAGCAGGTGAGTATTCTTTCCTTTTTACAGATGGAGAAACTTAAGTTCAGAACTAGGCTGTTGATCCAGTGGAAATACCAAAGAGCTCCCCTGATGACCATTCTGGAGCATCCTTAGCCTCATCTTTGAGGCCATGCTTGTTCCTCCTCAGCCTCCTCTGCAGGCTTAGTGCCTTTCCTAGCCCACTGTGCTCTGGCCTCTAAGGTGACCTTTCATTCTGGGACTTGCCACATTAGGGGAGAAGGCTAGGTGGCAGGCAGGACCTCTCAGTCCCCTTCAGATTGTACCAAGGAGCAGAAGTTGGGAAAACATCACACACGCACACACTCACCCCCTCCCCCCCCCTCTCCTCTGCTGATGCACCTGTCATAAGATGAGTGGAGCTGGCCACTGGACTTTGTGTCGTATGCCCTGAAAGTGATGCATTAGGGGATACATGCTTTGCTGAAAATGTCTTTTTTTGTAGTTAGCTTTCAAAAAAAAAAAAAACAAAACCTTTTTACATTTTGTACCACTTCTCCCAAATAGCAAATAGTATATCCTATTGTTTAATTAGCAAGTGGTTTTTGCTTGTTTGCTGAGTATCAGCCTTTAGTATGATATGCAATTTAAATATGTTGACAAGAAAGAACGGTCATGTACACTTTCTAAATAAGGCCATGCAAGTGGTGACTGAACTCCTCTGGAAAGAACACGCAGTATCTCTTCCTAGGCAGCAGGTGGCAGTGTGAATCCACCAGAATTAAGTAGTTAATTTAAAGCAAAAAATCAGAAAAAATGAGAAGAAAAATTATTTATTTTGCTATATACTAGTCTTCTGACCTAATCAGTAAAAAAGTCATTATTCACACCACACTGGGCAATATGCACTGTAATTTTTAACAAATAATAGGAAACTGTTAATGTGTTCACAGGAAATACAGTTTTGTCTTGGGCTGCTGTGGTCATTTATCACTGCACTTTGTGAAATCACTCATTTGTTCTAATTTGAATGTAAATGACTCTAAGGTTTTACAAATAAGGTGACAGACTCACATAAATGTAATTGCAGGGTTCATCTCCCTCTTTTTATATATCACTCATTAGGTTATGAATTAAATACATCGTATTAAACCAGGGGCATGTCCAATGATGATATTGTAATGGCAAATTACTCTGTGCTATTAGAGGTGTATTTTTTATTCATGGACATTAATTTGTCATTAAGCGGCATTAGTTTAGCACTTTTATGTGAAAGACGTGACCTGAAAGAGGAGACGTACTGCTGTGACAGGAGAGGGAAGGGACATGTGCGCTCTAGGTAGAGTGTTTTATCACCACAAGGAAAACAGAGGAGCATTTGTTTTATTATTTTTTTGCATTTGTTTTTCATTTATTTCCTGCTTTTATAAGTGTAAAAGATCATTTCACCAGATTGAAGGCGTTGTTCTGCTTACGGTGTGCACCTTTGGATCATCTAGTAAAGCAAAGCCAAAATTCTTACTCTGAATCATTCCAAAGCCGAGACCATACCCGAGTGGGAGAGAGCCAGCATCTTCCCGCCCTAAATCTCCGTCCTCTGTGACTGATGCTTATTAGTCATCCCTTGTCTTCATTTAGTTTTACACTAAATGAGAATTAAGTCATTTTTCTCTCTTCAGTGAAGGTACAAAGGCTTAAAGAATGTTATTCTCTCATGAGGGTAG